TTCTAATGGGCCACGTGTTTCCTTCAACCTGATAGAATTCAAATCATTTATAAAATCAGCTAATTTCCACTGGGATAATGTGTACATAGGCTTTGCAGAGATGTCATTACTTAGGTGGCTTTGGCTTTCAGAGCTCCAGTTGTGCTATCAAATGGAACAGTTCATGTGTCATCTACAGCTAGAAGCAGGTGTTGGAAGACAGTTTGCAGAAAGTGATGTGGAGCTGAATGCTGTAACTTTCTCTCTCTCCTTTTCACTTGCATTTCAAACACCTTTTGCTTTCAACTGAAACCTCTCACACATAATCCCTTTTAACACCAACAGAGAGAGGTCAGAATTTAGCAGTAGTTTGAGGAGAGATTACTTTTTTCAGATGTAGTTACTTTGTTATCATTCCCTGGGATGTGAGGTCTGGGATGTACCTATATGAAAATACAATTAGACTAAGCAACCTCCATGCTGAGGGCCAACAGACTATGAGGGACAACAGAAAGTCTTTGGAGAATACAAAACATCACCACACTTGCTGCTTTTCACTCTCGCTGACACCACTACACTGATTTTGTTATGAAATTCCATTATATTTATATTATTTCTGAATTCCCAAGGCAACTTTATAACTACACTGTACACTCTGGCTTATTGGTTTTTCATGATGTTGCACCATTCAGTAAATGTTCACAGTTTCTAATGAAGTGAGAAACAGCAATTCTAGCAGTCCAAACATATAATCAACACAGGGTTATCTCAACCTCTTTTAAGTTCTAAAGAAAAGAAGACAACATATGGATTATGTATTTTGCTATAAATAAACTGTTATTACAAGCCCAAACTCCTGTCAATATTTATTGTTTAATAAAGTAGCATAAATAGTTATAGGCTTACTGATAACTGTAAGCCAATAACTATTTTCATGATACAGCAGGTAACGGATAAATGACCTATATTGAAATAATATGCTATTTTGTCTAAAGTTTAAATAAAATGACAAAATCAATCATTTGAAACAGACAAGTGAATTTAGGCATCACAACATTATAAAGTAAAGAATGAAATTAAAATATTTATTTTGTGATTGTGTTATGAAATTACTCGAAAGATTAGATTAAGATTAAGAATATGATTAAGCATTATGACGGTAAAGGTATAACATGTAATAATTGAGGAAATGAGAGTGAAAAACCATTTATCCAGTAATAACTAATACTGAAATAAATGAATAAAAATTTTAATAAATTAAAAATTAAATACTGGCTAACTAAACAATATGGTACATATAAATATATATATGTGTGTGTGTGTGTGTGTGTGTGTATCATCAGTAAGGATTTATTCTACATAATATGCAGAAAACCACCATTCTGGGTCCTCCAGAAGAACCTTTCAGTAAACATTTTTTAAAAGAACCCCATTTTAATAACCTGAAGATAATTTCTTTCCACTATAAAGAACATTTTGGTCCAATAGTAAATTCCATGTATATGAAAGTTTCTTCATGGAACCACAGATGGCAAAAAAGAACCTTTATTTGTAATAGTGTAATCAAGCTCACAACACAGAGAACAGACAAATGCTTATAGAAAGATAATGCATAGCTATCAGTGGCAGAAAGACTTCTGTCTGAATTTACATTACAATCGAATTTCAGCAATGGATTATGAACTGCACACTGTCACACACCTACCCCGTTACTGTCAAATCGCCAAACTAAGACTCTGCCAACACATAATAACGTAATAGTTTGACAACAGGGTGTGGTGCTGTGCTATTTCCAGCTAATTGGCATTTGGGTTATATAAAGGGATTTGAATTGCAGCTGGCGGTGGTGTTGATTCAGTGCTAGGTCTGATTAAATATCGCAGCCTCCTGTCAGACGCAGTTGGGCTGGCATCAGTTATCTATGTGATATGTGTCTCCTGGGCGGTACTCCTTACTTCCATCTGCCATTTCCACTCACGCCAGTAGGCTTATTTCACTCATGCTCCTGTTGTTGTTGCAGCTCTGTTATGTTTAATTTGTTTATTGCTGTAAACATACATTGTCTAGATATGGTCGCATATTTGGTGGGTGGCCTGAAGGAAATGAAGCAGACAAACGTGTGGTTGCAGAGCGAGAGGAATCAAATAGAAAAGACAGTTATTTGAAGAATGACAGCAACGAGAAGAACAAAATCCCTGAATTCTGCGAAAATCCTTCAAATGAAACAGAAGGAACAAAATTATTTATATATTAATTTGCCATGGCCGTGTTTACAAAGACCAAAGAGACATAATGCACACAGTAGAACACAAAGCACCCAATGAAGATAACATCTGAAAGACCTGTACTTCTTATTTCAGAAAATTTAATTTCTTTTCAAAACAACCATTATAAAATGTCCCATTTTTAACATTGCTTCTAATGGTCAGTTAAACTATTAACTTTTAAAGACAGCAGCAACGCCAAGGCAGAGTTCAGGACACAAACTTTCAAACTGTTCTTCACATAAAACTTTACAAGACTTGGAAAAAATAGTGTTCAGGTCATATGGACTATTTCTATTTAATTTGTGGCTGTGAAGACTGTTTGTCTTCAAAAAGAACAATAGCCATCGTCTCATCCTTTTTCTTTAGTGTTACTCAGAATATGAAAAAAAAAAAAAAAAAAGGTGTCATGGGAAAATGACAGAATTTTCCTCTTAGGGTGAACCCTACAGTTTTAGTAATTGTTTTTATGTATTTATTTAAATGTATTTTAATTGTTCTATTTTCTACAATTAAAATGTATTTTTTGCTATCCTTCAAAGGGTATAACATGCCATCTTTCATTATTCCACAAAACACAAGTAGTTTGTTTTCTCAAAAGTTGTTTTCACAATAAATAATAATAAACTAAATTAATAAATTAATAAAACTAAAAGAAAATCCAGTTAATATTTTTATAGCAGTATTTCTATTTAAAATGTATACAATTATATGTATTATATATATATATATATATATAAAACGTATATTATATTAAGAAATACTCTTTGAGAGAAGCAGTCTTTATCAGCGGAAGTTAAAAACAGCTCGTAAGTGTATTTACTTGTCTCATTAGTGTTTAGTGCAGTTGTCGTTGCTAGGAAACGCTGGTTTTGTTTACTGTGTGGAGACGTGCTGATATCGTGTTTGGTCTCGTTCTGTATCGCGTATCTTGTCAGTGTCTGCGCTTGCTTGTCCATTTGTTGTGGAAAAAAGAAGGAAAGCGTGTCCAGCTGAATTAATTTAGTATTTTGTTAGACGGTTATAAAAAAAGCTTAGTTTACCGTAACAGCCGTCGTGTGAAGACTTCCTCGTGTGAAGACTGAAGAGTGTAAAGACCATCGACTCCACCGGGCAGGGACAACGGCAAAGGATAAGTATCGCTTTTTATTTCTCCTCTTTCCTATTACTTGTTTCGCTTCTGTTTCAGTTTTTATAACTATTTCTTACTATGTGTAAGTAAGTTGTTGTTTTTTAGCATGTAAGTTTGGCTCAGTGTTATTTTTTAGGGTTACTGATAAACTACTGTTATTTGATTTGTATTATTTGTATTTGTTATTTATTTTAATTTTAGTTACATTGTCTGAATTGTCTGTATAGGTCTTTTATTAAGTTTTTAGTTTTAATACTTCAACAAACTAAATGGAAATGAAATAATATATATTGAATTTATAAATGTGTATGTACATATACAGTATATACTGTAAGTATGTGTGTGTATACACATATGTATTTTTTTTTGGTGTTTGTCTTAGTGTTATGTTAGAATCATTATTATACTCTTATACCTGTTGTTCTTTAATGTTTTGAATTGTTTTTAGCTTTATTTTTTGTTTTTCATTTAAATGTTAAGTTTTGAAATTGTGTTGTATGCATTTGTCATTTTTATTGAATCTCTTATTTTTAAAATGTGTATATGTAGTATTTATAAAGTTTTAGCTTTTAGTTTTGGATCTGTTTTTAGTTGTTTTAATACTACAATTGATTGCTTCTGTTGTCCTCATGTGTAAGTCACTTTGGATAAAAGCGTCTAATAAATGACTAAATAAATAAACTATCCATTATTCAACAGCACTATGTATCTGGCAAAAATACTGATAAGAAAAAAAGTCAGAATAAAATGACGTCAGAATAAAATATGAATAATTTGATAGACTAAAGGATTACTCGTAAAGACAGCTCATGCTTTTCTTGAATACAAAGTGTGTGTGTGTGGGGGGGGGGGTATAAGAAAAAAAGTCAGAATAAAATGACGTCAGAATAAAATATGAATAATTTGATAGACTAAAGGATTACTCGTAAAGACAGCTCATGCTTTTCTTGAATACAAAGTGTGTGTGTGGGGGGGGGGGGGGGGGGTTGAGAGAGTGAAGAACTGGAGAATTCAAAGTGAGTGACGTGACATGTGGCCAAGTATGGTGACCCATACTAGGAATTAGTGCTCTGCATTTAACCCATCCAAAGTGCGCACACACACAGCAGTGAACAGTGAACACACACCCGGAGCAGTGGGCAGCCATTTATGCTGCGGCGCCCGGGGAGCAGTTGGGGGTTCGGTGCCTTGCTCAAGGGCACCTCAGTCGTGGTATTGAAGGTGGAAGAGAGCACTGTACATACACTCCCCCCACCTACAATCCCTGCCGATACGAGACTCGAACCCACAACCTTTGGACTCTCTAACCATTAGGCCACGACTTCCCCACATTTTAAGGCACATTTGCATGCAAGCATCCATTTATTTTTCTGCTCTTCAGACTATGCTTTTTTTCTGTAAATGTGTGCTAATTTGTCTGGCAGAAGCTTTCAGACCTGCACAGGAGAGAAAAGACAGGAAGATGCTCATGGTCAGTATCTTTGGTTTAACTCCACTGTGAGTCACTGACAGCAGGACTGTATTTCATCACAGTGAGTCAGAAGAACTTAGTACAGAGGAAAGGGAAGAGGCGGAGCTGTTTGTTTTATAAAAAACTCTTTAGGAGCACAAGATAGAGACACAAAACCAGGCACAACGGAAGAACTCACAGCGTCTCTGACTGCCCAATGTACAGATTCACAGAAGTGAGAGTTTCATCATTAGTGATGATGATGAAGATGCTTCTCTTCTTCACGATCTGCCTGATTAAAGGTAAGAAGCTGTTTTCATTACAGTATCAACCTGTATGTGACAGCTGTTTTTTTTACTATTGACTCAACTGAGATCTAATCGTGTCTGTGAGAGTCTTTTGTCTTTATTTGTGCATTTTTGAAGTTTGCTGTCAGTATCTGACCATAAGGCACTTATTAAAAGAGGAAGTGAATTTTGATTGACAGGTCACATGGGTGATGCTGCTGACCCTGTGCCTGCCATCACAGGAGGAAGTGTCATCATCAACTGTATGTATAATCGGGAAAATGCGAAAACCAGTGCAAAAAGCTTTTGCAAAATGTTGGGCAGTGAATGTACAACCATGACAGAAGAAAAGAACGATGTATGGATCCCAGAAGAGAGATTCTCTATGACCGATAATAAAACTCTGGGTCTGATTAGTGTGCTCATTAGAAACCTGACTGTAAATGACAGCGGGACGTACAGATGTAAAGATGGCAGCGAATGGTTTCAGGAGGTGAAATTCAACGTGGAACCAGGTAGAAATTAATATTTATTCAACAAATTGTGCAGGCGTTTAGATTTAACATTTTATGTTTATTCCCAAGACAAGTGTACACCAATTGGAATTATGAAATTAAAACTCTTTTGGTTTCAGAGTCGTGTTGTGGGACATCAGAGGAACAGACTGCGTATATTTTAGGAACGGCTGTCATCCACTGCAAATATCCCGAGAAATATAAAGACCATCTCAAGCAATTATATAAAGTGCAGAATGGATCGTTAGTGTCTATTCATATAGTTGGAAGTTCGACCACCAATGAGAGATTTTCTCTGAATGTAAATGAACAGGAGCATGTCCTCACTGTGACTATTGCTTATGTGAGCAGACATGATGATGGGGTGTATTTCTGTGGAATATACAACAACCTTATCTACACTCCCCTTTTCTCAGAGATTCAACTTCATGTTTCAGGTGAGAGCACACTCTTAAAAATAAAGGTGCTTCACGATGCCACAGAAGAACCTTTTTGTCTAAATGGTTCTATAAAGAACCTTTAACATCTGGTTTCACAAAAGGTTATTTGTGGTGAAAGAAGGTTCTTCAGATTATAAAGAGATGGTTCTTTAAAGAACCTTTGACTGAATGTTTTTTGTGGAACCAAAAATGGTTCTTCTATGGCATCGCTTGAAGAACGTTTTGATGCAACTTTATTTTTAAGAGTGTACATGTAATGTCATTTTGATTCTTAACCTTTCATCTGTGGGCAACAATGGAAAATCAAGAACAGATGCTTCAGTCCAGTCTGGTGAGTTCTTTAACACAAATTAAATTATTATGATAATGAAATTGGATTAATGGCCATTATTTAGGACATCACAATTAAAGTGATTTGCTGGTAAAGTGAGACTTGCAGAGCTTGCCTTGGCAGTAGTGATGGGGAAAAGTAGTTTGAAAATTTGAATTAATCGAAACAATTGTGTCATAAAATGCGTCACTGTATTAAAGCGTCCGGCTGGTCAAAACAGTGTAATCGCAACAAAAACCCAGCCCAAATATGCATAAACCAATTCGAAATGATTTACTGAAAGTGTAATTTAATAAATGCAACTAACAGGTCAAGAAATACCATTTAATATGAAGTGTCTGTATAGTTACGTCACTTGCAGCAGTGCGTGCATTGTGGTGGCAGAAAAACACTGGGAACAAAATGTTCTGTTGAGCTTTTGGATGCCAGCATCGGAATGTAAATCATTTTTATAGAATACCGTCGTCAAAGACAACATTTGAAGCTAAACGTAGACGTTTAAATGGATGAAGTGGATGAAACCTGCTATGATTACCCTACTTTTAAAGCATAAATTTGATTTAAACCATATGTCTACATAATATTTGCATATGCAGTTCTTAGGGGTCATATTGTATTAGCTACAGTTACAGCATAAAATAGCCTACTTTTTAAACCTATTACATTTACCTATTTTATCTCACAATTCAGACTTGCAAATGCAAGTTTAAATCTCCTACTTCAGACTTTATAACTCGATTTAACTCAACAATTGCGAGTTTGTCAATTCGGAGGGGAAAAAAAGCCAGAAGTGTGGGATTTAAAAAGAGAATGACGAGTTGATTTATATATATATATATATCACACTCAGAATTGTGAGATATAATCTCGGAATTGTGAGAAAAAAAGTCAGAATTTTTGAAATATAAACTCAAAATTACCTTTTTTATTCTTTTATTTCATGGATTCCATACTGCTACTTCAAAACTGTCATTTTCTACCAGATAGGCTCCGCCCACAAAAGACGTTACCACTTTTTGCAAACACCGAAATTGGTCCATAATATGTGTTATTTTCATTTGCAGGGCTCGTTTGTTTATGGAGAACATTCCTAAAAAGGCCAAATAAGTACTACTCTTCCTTTTCATTGAAATGTATAAAACTCATCCGAGATCAGGTTTAAAAACAAAAACACAAAAAAAACATGGGTTAATTTCATTATTTTCAAATCTGTCATGACAAACGAAGCCTCACTGAAATCATGTGACTTTGGACAAAGGTTTCAAAGCTTCACAATGCATTTTTTCATAAGAACCTCTTCACTTCTGCACATAAACACAACTGCCGCCATTTTGCAGCTCAGTGATTGGCTGTAGTGAAAATGACTGCAGAGTTCTTCAAGGGATAGTTCACCCAAAAATGTACTCACCCTCAAGCCATCCTAGGTGTATATGACTTTCTTCTTTCAGACGAATCCAATCGAAGTCGTATAAAAAACATCCTGGCTCTTCCAAGCTTTATAATGGCAGTGAATGGGTGTTTCTTGTCAATAGCCCGAAAGAAGTCAAATAAAGCGCATCCATCCATAATAAAAACGGCTCCGGGGGGGTGAAAAAAGGCCTCCTGTAGAGAATCAATGCGTTTTTGTAAGAGAATAATCCATATTTAAAACTTTATAAACCGTAATCTCTAGTATTCTCTAAAAGTGATTTTCATTTTTGGGTGAACTCTCCCTTTCAGTTTGAGTTTCACTGGATTCATGTTTCAGGTCTTGTTGCTTGACTGATTGTTTTGCATCATATGGTGGACTGTTCCTTTCACACTCATGCTAATATCGTGCTTCATTCTGTGGTTTGAATCTCATTTCTACTGTGTTTTGTGTGTGTTTTCCAGAGCTCTACATCGTCATTATGGTGATTATGTGTTTGATTCTGTTGTTAGTCGGAGGACTGAGTTTGTTGTTGCTCAAGCGGAGATGTCAAAAGACACAAGGTACAAACAAAGAAATCTGAAATCAATCAAGAAATCTCTTAACTTCTGTTCTCTTGTATGTTCACGTTCATCATTCTGTCCATCCACAGCAGGTTCAGTCTCATCCGATCAGAGGAACACAGGAGATGGCGATGAGGTAAACGTGTGTCTGTTAGCATGATACAGTATTTGCCAAACTGTGTTCAATTACAGAAGGAATTCAAAAAGATTATAAATCATGACATTACTGATAAACCCAGATGTTATGCAATTACAATAATAAACCTGTCCCTTTCAGGTGTCCTCGTCTGCTTATTATTCAGTGATCCCAGACTCTGGAAACACAACCATCAGTTTAAACACGGTTTATGAGACGGCACATTTACCCACAAACCCCTCTGGCAGTGATTTCTACACACTGGCTGAATAGCCACAAAACATGACATCTATGTGATTCAGTATGTTGCCTTTTTTTAGAATAAAACTACCCCTCTTGTCAATTTTTGTTTCAACATAATAATCAACAGAGCACTACTGTCATATAAATGACAGATATGTTGGCATAAATATCTATACAGTATGTATCTATAAATAATGACAGTCAAACCACATAGAAGATAATATGCAAACTGAATTAAACAAGGGTCCAAAAGGCAATACTTGGTTCAAAAGTCATATTTACCAGAACAGCTGAATGAATGAATGAATGAATGTGCATTTTGGAAGTATGTCCAAGTAAAATTGGAAAATGGCTCTCGCTGTGCGCCGTCATGTCATTATTAGATCACACTGACACCAAGTGGTCACATATGAGGTTACAAACTGTACAATATGAATGATGCCTGATGTCTCTCGTCTATGATCTCGTTAGAGACTCATTCAATCATGTTTATGTGACTAAGCAGCACATATTCTATTCTAAGATCAAGAATTTATTGAATGGAGATCTCAATAGAGGGAGCTCCTGCTGCAAATACTGTGTATTTCATAGAGAGGAGGAGCAAATGACAGACAGAGAGAGAGAGAGAGAGAGAGAGAGAGAGAGAGAGAGCTCTTCTTTAAGTTTGACCACCAGCAGCATTTCATTTGTATTACATGATCACTGTTTGTAAGCAGAGCAGCCAGTGCTGAGCAGAGTAAAATAGCTGACATGAATTACACTAGTACAATATTTGATAAAACAGCCCGAGACTGAGGATGGAGGACATTACTGGTGTGTGATAATGAGACTGTGAGATGCTTACATCTCTCATTTATGCCGGTAAGATGCCATCAGCAAGTTTTGTGTTTTATTTAAGAACAGAATCAACTATAAGTCTGTATTGAACAAATGCTGCTGGTCACACTAAGCCGCTATATTTTCACCAAACCCCGGACATTTACCTCTTAAGACCCGGCAAAACATTTTAGGCAAAAAACTTTTTTTTTTGATGTCATTACATTGTTTAGACTAGAGCATTAAAAAAAAGATATTTCATTCATAAGTTATGCTAAGTCATCGGTAGAGGACATCTGGACTCAATTTCTTAAAAAATAATAAAAAGACATGAATGAATATGCATAGGCAAAAACAATAGATTTTTTAAATCACCAATACATTTTTAGTTTTCAGGATTTTTTTTGTATAAAGATAATTCTCAACTATGTTATATCAGAATGGTTTTATATACCATTTTTCTTCATGCAAAATGTGTGTAAAATGGCCACAAACAGGTTTTCTCATTATATATAATGTATCTATAAACTAAATCTAATTTGCATATTAATGTGTTTTGGGGCCACATGTAATGAAAAAAGAAGTGTAATATTGAGAGTAATAATTGACAAGATTTTCATAATAATATATAATATTTCATA